AAAAAAAAAAAAAGAAGGCAAAATCGGGAAAAGTAAAAAAGTCATAGAAATAGGACAAAGGACAATATAGCTGGAAGCTTGAGATACTGCCTCTCAAGGAGCAGGCAAAAGCTTATTAGAGATGGGCACAAAATCAGAAGGGCCCTCTTCACCGTTACCTGCTCTACTATATTTCCTTTTCAAAGAATGGTCGATTTTGTAAAAATATACATAGGGGACACGGAACACTTACCTTCTCCAGAAGCTGACGAAGCTGCCTGCTTTTGGCATCCCTGGAACACAGGTTTTGTTCTGGAGCAACCACTGTGCAAATGCATCGCCCGTCAGGATCCTGTGCTGAGCTGTACACTTGCCAGCCTTCTTTGGGACTAATCTGAGTCTGAGAAAATCAACGGCAAACACACGAAACACAGACCCCATTACAGGATAAAGAGAATGTGGGTTTGTAGTATTTTAAACAAAACATATTTTTTGATAATTAAAGTTTATATTTTCATTCTTTAAAGTTAGGAGAGATTAAACAATTTATATAGGCAGCACCGCTTCATTCAGTTACACCTTCCTCATTGATGTCCAGAAGGAGATCCTTTTTCTTCTTTAGATGTCATATTCGTGTTTGTTGATCTCACATCACTTCCTAATGCTTTTTGTCATATTTTGACATTTTAATTCAACTTTAGAAGCATCTAAAAACCACATAATCACATATGACTAGTCTTTCTACATGAGATTTGCTAGCTGGTCCCTCTCAACAGGAAATGGCAATTACTAGCATATTCTTTTCTGATAATTTTTCATGTGTGACGTTATGAAGCAAATCCCTGTCTCAAGGAGGTTCCCATGTATTGGAGGCCCGATTACTAATAAAGTGAGAAAGATATCATTGATGATATGGGATAAAAATCATCAGATCAGCACTGGAGAGGATGCAGAGAGGAGCTCGAGTTTTTGGCAGCGTCTGCCAAGATGATCCTCCCAAATAACTTCTGTGCACTTCTCACCCTGCCTTCCTAGAAGCGGTGACAATGCCGCTCTGCTGCAGTCTGCCTCCATTTTGTGCTTCTAGATTTATCTCCTATACTGTCCAACAGGCACTTTCACTCTGGCCAAATTTGTCTGTGTGTGTCATGCCAGCATGCCGTGTTGATTCACATCTTGGTATTTCTCATTTGACTTCTGCTTGGAATACCTCTGTTGTAACCATCAATTTATTCAGCCTTTGTCATTTCTACCTGTTCTGCAAATTGTCTGTGCTACTCATCAGGCGTTTACTATGTATTATCTAGTATTGTTATTTGCCTTTCATATGTCTTTTTTCAACAATTTGCTTATATCCAGCTGTTAGATATATGGATGATTTCTAACTGCCCTATCAAATACATTCTATCAAGTACAAAGATAAGCACCCTTATGTTTTGTCTAATTATTTTAAAGAAAGAATGTTATAGACTTCCAAATAATGCACAAAAAGGAAACTTATTTTTATTACATGACCAGGGAAGACAGTTACCACGGCTATATTTGAAATTGTGTAAACTGGAAGTGTCTGAATTACAAACTTAATGCTTTCATCTTTCTAGTTTCTCTTAACCTTCTAGAAAAAATTTCTTACACTATATAAACAGAAGTTGTTGCGGATGGCACTTATTCCTCCAGCTGTTGGGAATATTGGTGGCTTTGTTCTTGGGTGAGTTTCTTTAGGGATTGCAATGGCTGCTGAATGCTGCCTCGCTCAAGTTCAGGCCCTGTTTCAGGGGACAACTCATTTCCATTGACGTGCTGATATAAGGGTGCAAAGAAGCCCTCTGACAAGGAGGAACTATTATTATTCCCATTTCACAGAAGAGAAAATTAGTTAACCTGCTTGAGAACATGCAACTTGTATACAAGGAAAGACACATGTATGATTTTAAATTTTCTAATAACCAGATTTTAAGAAACGAAAAGAAACAAGTGAAATTAATTTTAATAATATTGTATTTAGTGCAATTCATCCAAAATGTTACCATTTCCACATGTAATCAATATAAAAAATTATTCATCAGATACTTTACATTCTGAGCGATTTTTTTTTGGTACTAGATATTTGAAATTGAGTGTGTGTTTTACACTTCTGACGCATCTCAATTTGTACTTGCCACATCTCAAATACTCAGTAGCCACCTCTGGCTTCCTTTTTGCACAGTACAAATCTAGAGTCAGGTTCCTAATTCCTATACTATGACCGTATCAATAGAATGCTAACCATCCAGATAACTGTTTTTAAAGATGAATCATATGGATATTGAAAAAACTACCTGGCAAATGTTACACAGATAAACTATCCATGTAAAATCTGAATTTGTTTTTCCTATGGAAATATGAGATGATTAAATCAGTGGGCCTCTCTCTGGCTCTCTGCTGAGCTTACTTCTACAGCCAGGATCTGAATTCCTCAGCCTTCCTCTACCTTTCCTTCTATAATTTCCAGGGATTTAGCAGATCGGGAGGTAATTCTTGTATGATCAGGAGAAGAGGGAGATGAATTCAGAGTCTAGGAAAAAAGGTACAGTTTGAGTATCACTTATCCAAAATGTCTGGGACAAGAAGTGCTTCGGATGTTGGGCTTCCTTTTTCTTTTTTTTCCCCAGATTTTGGAATATTGCATATACATAATGAGATATCTTGGGGATGGGAACCAAGTCTAAACATGAAATTCATTTATGCTTCATATATACCTGATATATATAGCCTGAAGGTGATTTTGTAGAATATTTTTAATAATTTTGTGTGTGAAACAAAGTTTTGACTCTGTTTTAACTGTAACCCATCACATGAGGTCAGATGTGAAATTTTCTGCTTGTGGCATCAGGTCAGCACTCACAAAATTTCAGATTTTGAAGCATTTTAGATTTCAGATTTTTGGATTAGGAATGCTCAACCTTCATTTAATTAACAGGCTGGAGGGGCTAAGCCAAAGAAGGATGAGAGAAGGGCTGAGTGTCAGGAGCTGGGATGGGACTACGAATGGGTTGGTGAATGGAAGCCAGTAGAGAATTACTTTGCAGAATGCTCAGTGTTACTGGGCTGGTCTGTTTACCTATAGACCAGAGTGCTTTGCTAGGTTGGGAGCAAATTGTTAAAGGGACTGAACCTGGCCAACTTTTGTCTCCACAGATCTGTCATAGTCTGTGGGGTCTTCTGTCTCCAGAATTCACAGCAGAACAGACACAACCTCCTGTTTATCCTGTTTCAGGCCCAGCACACCACATACCGTCAACCAACACACGAGTCTTTTTCTTTTGAGGCTTTGATGATAATCACTACAAGGTGCTATCAGGTATTGCAACAACAATTGTGCATAAACACTGGGGAAGCTAAATATTATAAACCCAAGAAACTCATAAAGATATCATATCCATTGTCCTTGATCTATTATAAAAAGCGAATGCTGCCAGACCTACCTTTTGAGTTTCCCCTTTTATAATTCCTTTTTTAGAGTTCACATAAGTCTTTTAGGCTGCCTTTTATTTCTGGGAGTCAGACTCATTAACATTCCCCACACTCTTTCTTTCTAGCATTTATGCCTGAATATTCAGTTAGGATAGAAAGATGTACTTAGAATTATACATGATTAAAATCCGATAAGATCTTAAAGATTATTGGGTTATCCTTTTGCTGTTCTAGAAAAAAATGCAGGGACTACCCACAGAATGGAGATAGAAACAGCTTAGCAGAGTAGTTTCCATGATATAATTAAAGGTTTAAGCTGAGTATTACTATGTGATTAATATATCTGGACATAGGCCCTATGGTTTTAGCTAGGCTTCTCCTAACATTGGACACAAACCTCAAATATGTCAGAAAAATTAAACTTGTCACTAGAATAAATTTAGCTTTTGAATAAAGAACCAGGGGCCACCCAATTAAAATACTAAAATATTTTTACAGCAGTCCAAACACTGATTATGAAACCTGGCAGCATTAATATTGATGTGCACTTGCCAAGTGTTTGGCTAACTAGTGTGGAGCTTACCATGACGGGGCTAAGTGTCAGTTGCTCTCTAGAAGAGGAGAGTGGGAAAGGTGAATAGGGTTTAATGTTCTTTTAACATTCCCCCTGAAGTGTGAGGTTAATAAAAGCAAAGACTCCAGCCTTGTTTATACTTCCAACTGTCTTCTTGTAAGAATCATTGAAAAGAGTCACGACCTGCTCTACTACAGAGCTAGTTTGAATGATCTAAACTATAAAAAGTCACCTCTTTGACAAGAATAAAGGTAACTTGAAAGAGGTAAAACCTAATATAAAGGAAGAGTGCCTGACAGTCCCGTGGTTTTTGATTTAGACCTCTGTGTTGGGGTCAATAAAAAATGGAGGAAACTTTATGAGCATTTCTAGTATTCTCTTTTAGGGCACCCATGCTGGCATTGAAAAGAGGATCCAAATAAAACCAAGACCTCAGGTGGAAGGACATAGATGTTTTTTGAATTCCCATGAGAAAAGACCTGTTCCAATTTTAACTAATAAGAGCAATTATTCAGGTGTCAATGAAACTCATACAATAGTAATAGCAATAATTTATGGAGCTCCGTCTATTACTTGGTAGTTCATATGTGCTATTGTGTTTGAATATCAGAAATACTCCTGTGGTATTGTTACTTTTCCCAGTTTATAGATGAGTAAACTGAGACTTAGGGACACACAGGGAATAGTGAGTAGAACTGTGATTTGTACTCACACAGTCTTATTTCAGAGCCTGAAGTTTAACCACCACACTGCACCACCAATTATAATATTTTAAGACCCTGTCATACATGATGATAACCCTGATAGCATTTTCTGAGCTACCACGAAGCCTAGTACTTGGACCTGGAGTGTGTATATAGTTTCTTACTATCCAAAGTATTACTAATCACAGTGATTACTGACTCAGCTCTCTTTGAACCTTTGGTGTTAATGAGAAGAACTAAATGAAGTATTTAGCAGTTTTTAGTATTATAAAACTCATGAAATATTTAAGAATGTTCTAAATAGGAGAGTTAAAATGATAATTTTAACAATTGTATTTCAAGCCTGGGTTCTTTGCTTATAAGTTAATTACAAGGCTATGCTTTACAGATATAAAGTTTTCCTAAAAACTTCAGGGGCTTTGCACCAGAAAATAAGAATCCTGAGGCCTAAGAGTTAAAAGTAAAAATTAATCGGAACACCTTTCATTTCAATACGTGTGCTGCTTATAAAATCCTTTCTTTTGTATTAGTCTCACTTTTTTTTTTGAACCAATTACCCTTAGACAATATCTTACTTTATTTATGAAGAAATTGAAACTAAAAAAATTAAGCAATTTTTCCCAAGTCACATACCTAGTTAATGTCACATATGGGATTTATACTAGTTTT